GGGGGGGAGGGTGCGCGTGGGAGGGCGAGCCGGGGCCGCGCCTCCAGCTGATTGGCGGGGCCCGGCCCCTAGGGGCGGGCTCTCTCAGGCGCTCGCCCGGCCCTGGGTGGCTATATTGGCACCGTTCCTGCTGGGTCGAGTCGCTTCCCCGCGCGGAGCTGGACCCGGGGAGAGGGTTTCTGAGGGCGGTGCGGGCGCAGGAAGGGGAGCGAGGTTGCCGAGAGCGAGCGGGGGCTGCGGGGCTGCAGTGCGATGAAGCAGCGGCTCAGGGAGCGGAGGCTGGCGGTGTGGCGAGACTGGCCGGCCCGGGGCCCGGGCTGCTACTCCGGAGGCTGCTGAGGCGCCGCGGCGGCCGGCGTGGAGAGCGGCGGGCGAGAGGGAGGACAGACAGCGGAGCGCGGGGAAAGCCGGCTGGGTGGCCGGCAGCTCGGGTTGGCCTCCCCGGTCGGGATCCCTGGGTGGAACCATGCGGGTGGCCAAGTGGCTGACGGGGCTGCTCTACCAGTTCTCGCTCTTCATCACCAGGTCTTGGGAAGTTCACTTCCACCCGAGGCAAGGTAAGGTCACTACGGGGGCGCCTTCAGCGGCGAGATGGGGGCGCGGGGCCCGAGGGGGAAGTGCGGACGGAGGGGGCGAGCGGCTCAGCCCATTGGGGGACCCTGGCCCTGCAGGAGCTCCCGGGACTCCCGTATTAGTCAGCCCGAAGCATCCCGAGAGGTCGCGGCTGCACCGAGTTTCGAGGAATCGAGCGCTCGGGGGACAAGCCTCACTCCCGGGACCACGCGGCGGGGGCGTGTGGGGCAGGGTGGCGCGTGCGCCTGGAGGGCACGAGTTGGCGGCGGCAGGGAGGCGAGGAGGGACTGGGAAAGGTGGTGGGCTGCTCAGGGCCATGAGTGGTGGGGTCTTTGCTTGGGGAGGGTGGAGCAAATCGGGGGTGTGGGAAAGCAGAGCACGAACTGTGTGTGTGTGCACGCTAGCATGTGTGCATTTGTTGCACACCCGGGTGTACTCGGACTTGGGACCCTTAGCGGGGACATTGGTGAAGATTGGGTTTGGGGATTGGGTCACGCGTGGGCTCAATGGCCATATCGCTGTGGTTGCAGAAGCCTTGGTGAGGACCCTGGCCTCCTACGAAGTGGTGACCCCCACGCGGGTCAATGAGTTCGGAGAAGTGTTCCCGCAGAGCCGCCACTTCAGCCGGAAGAAACGCAGCTCGGGGACTGTGGGACCCACGCCGTTCAGGACCCACTACCGCATCAGCGCCTATGGGCAGCTCTTCCAGCTGAACCTGAGCGCCGACGCGGCCTTCCTGGGCGCGGGCTACACCGAGGTGCACTTGGGAGCCCCCGCGCGCGGGGCCCGGGAGCGCAGCGCGACGCCCCAAGACCTGAGCCACTGCTTCTACCGCGGCCAGGTCAACGCGCGGCAGGACCACACGGCCGTCTTCAGCCTATGTGGAGGCCTGGTAAGCGTGCTGGGGTTTCTTGGCATCTTCCGGGGATCCAGGCAAGGGCTGCGTTCAGGGAGCGGGTTGGCGGTTGGTGAACCAGGAGTTCAGAGTGGGCCACCAGAAAGATTAACACCTAGGTGAACTCAACCCAGAGGCCACTCCTTCCTGCATCGGGGAGACTAGTTGGGAAGGCTCTGATGCCAGGATGAGCATGTCTCTGCCTGCTGGCCAATATCGACTCCCTGTGCAAGCTGAGAGAGCATCTTTCCTCAAAGTGTCAGATGCTGGAGTAGTAATGAGGGAGTGGCCTGTGAAGAGGAGCGTGGTTTCCAACAGGAGAGCAGGCTATGTAACTCAGATGGACCCACTGCTGGTCACCTATTGCGGCAGAATTCCCTGAATTTACTTAAATTTGATCTTTGAATTTAGAATGATAGAACGAAAATAAAATTAATATACATAAAATGAAAAGGCTCCCATTGGAAAGGTTTGAAAAGGAAATGTTTGTTTTGTTGATAGTATGGGGATGGCCATTGATCTGTGAGGTACAGAATAAGGAAGAGGTTGAATCTGACTGTTTAAAATGCGCTGCACTAGACAACCTAGAGTCTATCTACAAAGACCTGGTGCCACCAAATGAGAAATGATGATTAGAGTGACAAGAGTAAAAGATGGAGATTTTGTAAAACTTCCCCGAGAAGAGAGGAAATGAAATAAAATATCGGGCTGTTTGTCTTATTTGTTTCTCTCCCTCTAAAACAAAGGTTCTTAATTATTTTTTTGACATGAACTTCTTCAGCAGTCTGATGAAACCCAAGACCTTTTCTCAGCATACGAATTTTAAATGTGTAAAATAACATACTTAATATTAAAAAGGAAGCCAATTAAATAAAAACAGTAATCAAAGTATTACAAAACCAATTTGTGATGCAGTAAAATATACTTCATTAATGCATTAAATACTAAGGTTTATTGCTGGGGTCTATTTACTACTATATTTTGTGGTGGCAGTGAATGTAAACAATCCAGATAGATACATCACCTCTAATGTATTATGACGGTATCATTTTATTGGTAGCAAAGCCACAATACCTATGTTTTCACCTAAAATCAAATTATGATTGTTCATTATCAGAGGTTAGTGAAAATAAAGATGAAACTTTTCTCCCATCCAAGTGCATGGAACCCCAGGGTAAGGACACTTGTTTTAAAACAAACAGATATTAGCTCACTTCATCAGTAACTCCTCTGAGTACGTAGTCAAGAAATAAGAACTATGAGTTTGGTTGCAGGATTCTATTGTTCCCAAGTACACTAGCTTTTGTTTAGCAAGGAAGAAAAAAATGAAAAAAAAAAAAAGATACCTTTGTAAAGCTGTGCATAGATATTTTCAGAACATCATTACTGTTGATTCTTNTGGGGCAGGGTGGCGCGTGCGCCTGGAGGGCACGAGTTGGCGGCGGCAGGGAGGCGAGGAGTGACTGGGAAAGGTGGTGGGCTGCTCAGGGCCATGAGTGGCGGGGTCTTTGCTTGGGGAGGGTGGAGCAAATCGGGGGTGTGGGAAAGCAGAGCACGAACTGTGTGTGTGTGCGCGCTAGCATGTGTGCATTTGTTGCACACCCGGGTGTACTCGGACTTGGGACCCTTAGCGGGGACATTGGTGAAGATTGGGTTTGGGGATTGGGTCACGCGTGGGCTCAATGGCCATATCGCTGTGGTTGCAGAAGCCTTGGTGAGGACCCTGGCCTCCTACGAAGTGGTGACCCCCACGCGGGTCAATGAGTTCGGAGAAGTTTTCCCGCAGAGCCGCCACTTCAGCCGGAAGAAACGCAGCTCGGGGACTGTGGGACCCACGCCGTTCAGGACCCACTACCGCATCAGCGCCTATGGGCAGCTCTTCCAGCTGAACCTGAGCGCCGACGCGGCCTTCCTGGGCGCGGGCTACACCGAGGTGCACTTGGGAGCCCCCGCGCGCGGGGCCCGGGAGCGCAGCGCGACGCCCCAAGACCTGAGCCACTGCTTCTACCGCGGCCAGGTCAACGCGCGGCAGGACCACACGGCCGTCTTCAGCCTATGTGGAGGCCTGGTAAGCGTGCTGGGGTTTCTTGGCATCTTCCGGGGATCCAGGCAAGGGCTGCGTTCAGGGAGCGGGTTGGCGGTTGGTGAACCAGGAGTTCAGAGTGGGCCACCAGAAAGATTAACACCTAGGTGAACTCAACCCAGAGGCCACTCCTTCCTGCATCGGGGAGACTAGTTGGGAAGGCTCTGATGCCAGGATGAGCATGTCTCTGCCTGCTGGCCAATATCGACTCCCTGTGCAAGCTGAGAGAGCATCTTTCCTCAAAGTGTCAGATGCTGGAGTAGTAATGAGGGAGTGGCCTGTGAAGAGGAGCGTGGTTTCCAACAGGAGAGCAGGCTATGTAACTCAGATGGACCCACTGCTGGTCACCTATTGCGGCAGAATTCCCTGAATTTACTTAAATTTGATCTTTGAATTTAGAATGATAGAACGAAAATAAAATTAATATACATAAAATGAAAAGGCTCCCATTGGAAAGGTTTGAAAAGGAAATGTTTGTTTTGTTGATAGTATGGGGATGGCCATTGATCTGTGAGGTACAGAATAAGGAAGAGGTTGAATCTGACTGTTTAAAATGCGCTGCACTAGACAACCTAGAGTCTATCTACAAAGACCTGGTGCCACCAAATGAGAAATGATGATTAGAGTGACAAGAGTAAAAGATGGAGATTTTGTAAAACTTCCCCGAGAAGAGAGGAAATGAAATAAAATATCGGGCTGTTTGTCTTATTTGTTTCTCTCCCTCTAAAACAAAGGTTCTTAATTATTTTTTTGACATGAACTTCTTCAGCAGTCTGATGAAACCCAAGACCTTTTCTCAGCATACGAATTTTAAATGTGTAAAATAACATACTTAATATTAAAAAGGAAGCCAATTAAATAAAAACAGTAATCAAAGTATTACAAAACCAATTTGTGATGCAGTAAAATATACTTCATTAATGCATTAAATACTAAGGTTTATTGCTGGGGTCTATTTACTACTATATTTTGTGGTGGCAGTGAATGTAAACAATCCAGATAGATACATCACCTCTAATGTATTATGACGGTATCATTTTATTGGTAGCAAAGCCACAATACCTATGTTTTCACCTAAAATCAAATTATGATTGTTCATTATCAGAGGTTAGTGAAAATAAAGATGAAACTTTTCTCCCATCCAAGTGCATGGAACCCCAGGGTAAGGACACTTGTTTTAAAACAAACAGATATTAGCTCACTTCATCAGTAACTCCTCTGAGTACGTAGTCAAGAAATAAGAACTATGAGTTTGGTTGCAGGATTCTATTGTTCCCAAGTACACTAGCTTTTGTTTAGCAAGGAAGAAAAAAATGAAAAAAAAAAAAAAGATACCTTTGTAAAGCTGTGCATAGATATTTTCAGAACATCATTACTGTTGATTCTATATTGTTCCCAAGTACACTAGCTTTTGTTTAGCAAGGAAGAAAAAAATGAAAAAAAAAAAAAGATACCTTTGTAAAGCTGTGCATAGATATTTTCAGAACATCATTACTGTTGATTCTATGATTACATGAAAAATTGATAACAGTTCTCTCCAGTCTAAATGTAATACTTTCTTTTAGGTTAATTAATTTAAGATGTCTTCCTGGGTGTGAGCATTGGTCATTATTAAGTACATTTGGAAATTCTTTTTCAAGCTATTATCTTGAGTTGTAGTTACATGAAATGCCCCAAACTATTTCCTTCGTTTCTGTTGTGGATAAATGTAAAATATTTGTAACATCAGAATGGCCGAAACATACTCTAATATTTACACAGCTACTTATACTTCAAAGAAAAGAAAAAATGCTTTTTTCTTAAACCTTTTAAAATAATGTTTAGTTTGTCTGGAAAATCCTAGATTTACTCCCACAAATTTGTCATGGTCAATATGTTTTCTTGATTTAGTGTTTTATGGCAGGGAAAAACATTCCAGATGGGAAACATTATTAGGAGTGATGTTTATACTCATTTTTACTCGTAACGTTGGTGTAGTTTGAATTATTATTCTATATCCCCTTTTCAAATTCAGGAAATGGTTGAAGATGTTTTTTGAGTCATAATAGGAGTTTGTTCATTTTTGTTGCTGTGTTAATTTGGGTACAGTTGCTTATGTCACCCTCATGCATTTAATAATCTGATTTATTTATGCAGTTTGCTTCTGATAAAATTACTGATATTATCAGAATTTGTTGATTTAACACTTAAAAATTTATTTTCATACCTACACCAACATAAATCACTTTTATCTTAATTTCTTTTTTTTATTGATTATGAATATTCATGAGATACAAAGCTGATTGTCAGCCCTTGTGCCCATGATGTGAGGGCCAGATTCATACTCGCAGCATACCCAGTACCACAAATTGCATTTGTACCCCGTGTCCCCCACCCAGTTATCCCCAACCTCCCTCTCCCTCTCTTTCCCCCCAACTCCACTTTGTAGCCCAAGGAATGTTCTCTCCCTTTGCAACTCCAACGTACTACTGTGGTCTTTCTTTTCTTCCTTCTTTCTCTCTTAGCTTCCACTTATGAGTGATCACATGTGGTATTTATCCCTCTGTGCTTTGCTTATTTCACTCAACATAAGTTTCTCCAGGCTCATCCATGTTGTTGCAAATGGGAGTATTTCATTCTTTTTTATGGCAGAGTAGTATTCCATGGTGTATATGTACCACAGTTTCCTTATCCAATCATCCATCGATGGACATTTAGGTTGGTTCCATGTCTTGGCTATTGTGAACAGATCTGGATGAACATAGAGTACAGGTATTCCTTCAACATGATGATTTCCATTCCTCTAGGTATATACATAGAAGTAGGATTGCTGGATCCTATGGAAGATCTATCTGTAGTTGTTTGAGAAACCTCCATAATGTTTTCCATAGTGGTTGTACTAATTTACATTCCCACTAACAATGTAGGAGTGTTC